ACATGAAGTAGGTCAGCTTGATGCTGACATCCGGAAGGATATCACAAGATATGAACAAGTGTTCATATCTGCAGGAACAGGAACGAGTGGACAGTGTCCAGGTGATACATAATCAGTATTCCACAACAGTGGTTTATAGCGTCCCCTAAACCTCAATGGTTTTGAAATTTGGTCTACTAACTCAAAACTGACCTCCATACCAGGAGTATGATTTTCATCTAATTATGTGCTGATGTTTTGAAGATGTGGCAGAATTTGTGTTTTGCTAGCTTGCCTAAGCTTTTTAGGCATAACTCACACATTAAAAAAGTAAAATACTTGTCCTCCTTCAAAACTTAGAACCAGCATACTATCTAGATTTCGGATACTTAGTTTCTTGGCGATTGAACATCAAACCTTTGGAAAGATGCTAAAAGTAGATTTTGCAATTTTTGCACAGCAGAAAAAAAATTGTTTAGGTGAAAATGGGCATGGCCTAAACCAATGGAAAAGATTTGCATTGTTTAAAGGCTTCACTTAAACCTTTTGGAGCTTTATTTCTCCAAACTGAAATTGTCCAAATGTGAGATAATAATTAGTCATATCTTTTCAACAGAATGCAAGTACAAAAAATCTAAACAATTGTTTTTAATAGTAAGGGTTCTTATACTGTATTATCCTTTATCCCAATAAAAATTGCTTCCAGCCCAGATGGTGGAAATCTGTGTAAATTAGTTGTGGTAATTTATCTCATACACTCTGAGCTATCAGAATCCAGTACCTGAACTTTTTATGTCACATAAAACAAATCCAACTTGTGTGATTTCTTGTGTTCCTGCAGACTTGGTTTCCTGGGTATTCTACACATGGAGGTGTTTAATCAGAGGCTGGAGCAGGAGTACAATGCTTCAGTCATCGTAACTGCACCCACCGTGCCCTACAAGGCTGTCCTGTCCTCGGCCAAACTCATCAAAGTAAGAGCTGGCTCCTGCACATGTATCTTCCAGTTTCACTGCTGAGCTTGGCTCACGCTGATCACTTTAGAATGAATTATCGATCCGGTTGGTCTTATGTCACTAAAATACCTTCCTGTTGAATGATACACATGTGATGCTCGAAAAGAAGTCTTCAAGAGATCGTTTAAAAGGTTTTAGCGTAATGACAACAGGAGAGTTAAATGCATCATGTAGAAAATGTTTTTCCACACTGAAAACAACAACTGTCATTTTTAAAATAAGATTTTCTTATTCTTTTTTGTCAGCCTATCAAAAAGTTTATTATTTGTCAGAATGAAATTAGGTGAAAGACCATTTTTAGTTCTTCAACTTGAAACAAAGCGATACGTGTTACTATAGTAATTCTCTGTTTGAATCTTCTCCTCCTTCCAGGAGAACGGCAGTGAAGAGCTCACCATTGTGAACCCAGCTGAGTTCCCCATGAAATCGCTGGTGTCAAAATATTTGGAGCCCATGGTTCTGGGGACCATCATCTCTCCTGACAATTACACTGGCAAAATTATTTCTCTCTGCTTGGTAAGAAGTAAGGGCACAGTGTGTAGGATTTTGGCAATTCTTTTAGCTGAAATTGAGATAATCACTAATGACAATAATAAAAAAACATGTCTAATCACTGCAGACAAAGACCTTGTTTTATTATTTTTACCTTATAAAAAGCTGTTTATA